ACCCACTGATCTGCATACTGGTGTGTAAATGTTTCGTTTGTACCAGTGGGTAAACGTGGCTCAGCTTGTGTCAGTATGAATAGGAAAAAACGAGTAAGTCTAGCTCATTTGTAAAAATTTTCATTTTGATAGGAAGGCAAAATAATTCTTCTTCAATTCATATAAATGTTTATTTTATTTTACAAATTTTTCTTTATAATTTTTAGCCTTTGTTTGCCATAAAACCGTATTTTTAAACTTGCCTTTTTTCATCTACTCACTTCTATTAGGTTTCTGCCATTCATTTGTTAATAATACACAGTTCAGTTCTTTCTGTTGTTTTCTGCGTTTTATCATTTGATTAAACCTGTTCTAACATTTCACACTACAAAATAAGTCTGAAAAGTATGTAAGTAATTTGTGCTGAGATGATATCCAACATCGGGATCATATCTAATCCATAATCCCTCAATCTGTCCAAACGGAGGAAGCCTATTCAGATGAAATGTGGTTGAATAAAATTCCTTTGTGAATGGTATGTGATTACTTTTTATTAGATATTAAATAGATTTATTAGATATTAAAATTTGAGTATTGTTATTAATATTTGCTAAATTTACTGCAGTGATTAATAACCTAAAGAAACAAATGGGCGGGCTTAGGTAACAATACGTCTTTTGTCTTCAACATCTCCTGCATACTTTTATTGACTGTATCATCAACCAGAGCCAAGTGTTTGAAAGCTAAAATGTAGCATCTATTATATGTTTGTTCTTGTGTGGTTGTTTTCTCTCTCTTTGCAAGCGTGCTTGTTTTTAGGTGATGCGAAATCCACTACCTTTGCTCAGCAACCTGTTAGTCCTTCCCAGCCTTGTTTAGTATTCAGGCAGCAGGTGCTGCTGTAATCTGGATTCTGAGGCAGGTTTCTGGGGGTTTTGGTTCGCTCTTATAGCCCTGATAATCTCGTTATAGTGCTGTCAGGTGGAAATGGCTCTCCCTGCAGACCTGAACCACCATGCATTCCACCTTCAGTCGCCAGAAATATAACCTCCACCCTGCCCCCAGCAGCCTGCCGCCATTTTGAGACAGTTGTTGATAGAAGAGCCTTGGATGTATCCTTGAAGAATCACCTCCTGAGTTATCTCTATTCACGTTCCAAACCCCCGGTACGCCCTCCCCCATCCCCCAGGTTTCAGGCTGTAAACGACAGTGATAAATATTCATCATAGGGACGCAGAGCACTGGAGCCTCAGCTCCAGATCCCCATCAACAAAAAGTCCCCCAGCTAATGGTGTTCATCCTTGGCATCACCCTTGGGGAGGTCCTGTGAAGGGGACGAGATCTTTAAGGAATGCCGCTGGCTCAAGGCCAGACCTATCATGTTACATCAGCTTTTATGACAGCAGATAATTTTTTTTTTCTCCTCATCATTCTTGAGTACGAACCTGAGCCTACCTTTGTAAATCTGGAGGAACAAAGACAGCCTCTGATGGCTGACTGGCCTGCTCTTATTCTGTTGGCTCAACTTCACAACTTCTAATTGGCACCTTGGTTTTGGTCCTTGCTGAGATCAGTATTTTTTTTTAACTCAACCTGCACTACTCAGGCACCTCTAAATGTGCCGACCACGCATTTTACACAAGGCTTTTTCGTCTCTTTCTTTTCATCTCGTCCTCTCTTTTCCTCTCTCTCTCTCTCCCACTCTGTCTGTCTCTCCCCATTTCTTTTCTATGGGTGACCACACTCAGCATTTTTCTATTTCCTGTGGGTGTGATGTCTCTCCTCCACAAGCAATCAGCCATGATTTGTCAGCGTTCTTCTGGGCGATTCATAAAAATTCAGCAAGCATCCACAAAAGATGTCTGCGCACCTATCTGCAATGCCCCCTGCGCTCTTAGCTGCAGATCTCACCCACTGCTCCTATGGCTAGACGCTCACTAGAGGCCTGGAATTATTAATGCCAGGCGATATGCTGCAGGAATTTTGTTTTTTTCTTTGAATAATTGGACTTAAAACCATCCTGTCACAATTAAATAACTGACTTGAGCACCTCTGTCAGCTCCTTGTCATTTCTGCAGAAAATTGTAGGTGTGCTTTCTCTCGTTTGTGTGGATGCCTCTTTGTCTCTGTGAGGTATGACGTGCCCGGCAGTGGAAGGGAGCAGCTGTGCATTGGACCTTGTCTGTGTTGTTCTGCCATGCCCTGTCACTGCTAGCCGTCTGTTGGCAGTAGCCTGTGCTGGAGGCTTGCAGCCTGGTCGCAGTCTTTCCACGGTGTCATATGGTGAGCTTTCAGAATGCTAAACCATGCCTTCGCACAGCTGTGACGGAACGTGCATCTTTAATAGGCATGACCCGATGTGAGGTTCCCGCTTTATGATAACCTTGTGTAAAAATACCCCAATTTCATTGGTACAACTTATTTAAATTAAGATAAAAGAGAAATGATGTATAGCATAATCCTATTGTTTCTCTTTAACAAAAATGTTTTTATTCTCTCCCATTTAATATTAATAATAATTAGTATTATTATTATTATAACAATAATCCTTTTACAGTTGTAATTATGTCGATGATGTTAATTACCAGATAACTATAAGTTGAAACATCCCTCCAGTATTACTCAAGTAAATTAATTTTCTAATTTTTTTATGTTGTTTTTTTCCAGGTTATTAAACAGGATGAAAGAAGAAATAGTTGGATTAAAATGATAGAGGTGCTCTTTATGTTTCCAAAGACGTTTTAAAACCATCATATGTAAAATCCTATTATTGTTAAGCAATAAAACAATAAATATATATATATATTGCAAATAGACCCCTGATCAATATAAACATTAGTTCCAATAGGATGTTCTATAAACTCACAGAACTCTGATGCAGAACCACAGGATTCTGGGGGATGTAGGCAGAGGAAAGGATTTAGCCTCTTAACCTTTCACAGCCAAGGCAAGCCAGTGTTGGCAGTAGGTCTGACCTCTTTTTAAAGGTTAAGTTTAAATATGGTTTGGGTTCCTTCAAGTAGGCGAAACAAACAACTAATCAATAATCATAAATATCAACTAATATGATGCATTATCAATGCATATGATGCATTTCAGCCATGCTGACCTCAGTCCCCTTTAGGCAACTGACTGACAGTGTGCAGGAACAGGGAGTGGAGGGATGATACATGTAGAAAGTTCTCTATATTCTTGCACTTTCTCTGGTCTCTCATTAAATTACCCAGCTTTCAAATCAAAGCTTCCAGATAATGCAAGCAGACATTGATCACCTGATTTATAAATTGCACTTTTTGTTAATTTCCTTGTATTAAGGTCTTTGAATAGATCATCTACCCCATGTATTTATATATATGTAGTTTATTAAAAATAATACAATATTAGTAACTGTAATTAATAATTGTTAGTAGGTCAAAGTAGTAATCTGTCTTGAGATAAAACAAATAAATTGTTATTGGTTGGGAAAAGCCTGATCAGTGCATCTGTAGCTCTTTTTTTCTCTGATTCCCAATAGCCATTAGCCTCTTGCTTTCCTGTCTATTTGTCCATTATCTGTGCATCATCAGATGGACCATTATCCCATTATGTTTTGCATCTGTGCTCCAAATGCTTACTGGAAATGAGTCACCACAAAGGCCTGTAAAAAGTAGGTGTTACTATCAGGCGACTATTCATAGCCAGACCATCAGGAGTGAAAACAGCACATTTAAAAAGTCCACTGAAGGCGGGGGGTGTGGGGGCATGCTTTTTTTTTTTTATATCTAAATCTACATCAAAGTGTAGCATTGCTGTTTTGTTTTTGTTTGTTTTTTTATGAGGAGCCAGAGGACTTTTTCTTTGGAGTGAAAAGCTTCAAAAAATTCTAGTCACAATCTGACCTCATGTTATGTCCCCAGCCTGTACAATTGTGTCGTATTTAGGTCATTTTTAACAAGCGTCTGTCTCTCCCTGTTTGGCTCAGGTGACCGGTCCACCTGTAGCTCTCCTTTTGTTGCCATGGTAATATCCTGTCCTTCTTAAAGTGCACTCCAGAGCTGCGACTCATCTGTTTTTTTTTTCCTTGTCTTACCTCACAGAGCTTTCTTCACACAGTGGCTGGCTTAATGTGCTTAGAGGCCATAAACACACACACATGCACACTTCAACAGTAGCTGTAGCACTTTGTACAATTCTTTATCTAACATGATCCCGTCTGAAAAAAAAAATAAAAAATCCAGCATGTGTTTGTTTATGTGCTCTGTAGTAACACACTCCCGGCTTTGTAAATCAGCTTAGAGAGGCAATGTGCTGGGTGGGCGGACTCTGGTGGGTGTCGCTGACACAGCATTTATCGCATGCAGAGCAAAAATCCCAGAGCCGTTACTCTGTATGTGTGTGTTTTGTGTCTTGCCTTTTAAAAGAGATCACCCAATGGATAGCATTCGACCTTCTGTCTTCACACCCCTTGGTTAGTTTTCTCACCTGCTCACCTTATCTGGGTGTTCCCTCTGTATTTACACAACAGAATCAAACTGCATTGCAGCCTGGTTATTCTGGGCTCTGCACTAGTTACGTCTATTTATTGATTTGTGGGATTATAGCTGCTGTGATTCCAAGACAGGTGTGACTGTCTAGACTTGGTAGCTTGCTGCCGTGTTTACAGAGGAGAAGTAACAGCTCTGTTTTCCTAGATATGGCTAAGGGCTTCCAGCCAGTGAAACGACATATTGCATGTGACTTATCATCGTTCAACACAGAAGCTTCAAGTTCCTTTCTCTTAATTGCATATGTTGTTTAAATTCAAGCTGACCTGTGCTGGAAGCAGAAACACCTTCAAATGATTTGTTTGTTCTGCAGAAAGACTGCGCTATTTCAACACCCTTAGTATTATAGAGAAGGATGCCTGAAGTCCTTGACCTACTTTAAATTTTTGGGTCAAGCTCATGCTGCAGCCTATTTGCCAGAAATATATTTTTTTTATTAAAACGATTTCCTAATTGTTTCACTAATTGTTTTTAATTGATTATTATGGCTTTTCACAGAACACTCAGCAGTTCAGGTGGACGCTGCTCTTGTGGCATGAATACCATAAACAAAGGAAACAAGGCCTTAAAGGTAAAGACAATCGTTTGATAAACAATTTTTCTTAATGGGATTTTCCATTTGGTAAATTTATTGAATTTTAATTTTACATATTTTTCTCATTTTTTTTTATCTTAATAGTTATCCTTGTTTGTTTTGCAATTTATTTGGATTGTTTCATTTAAAAAGCACTCTTCAATGCACCATCTTTACTATTTGGTTTCCATAGTTTTGTTATCATTTAGTTTTAAATTCATATTTTTTCTTAAACTTGAGACACATATGTTCCAATAAAAGGTTTCTACCAAAATGTATATTTTTACATGTTTTTTTTATTTTATTTGCACAAGAAGCAAAGAATGATCCGACTCGAGGTTGCTTCCAGATTTTATATTGATTACACCACCCCCCCTAAAAGCATAACATGTATTTGGGCTGGAATTTTTTAATTTTCTTATACTATTTTAGCAAATAATTGCCCCATTTACACTGCGCTTTTGGAACCGTAGCAAGAGACGTCCTTACACAGGGACCAATTTAACTGTAGAGTGTAAATGGCCACAAACTGAAACGAACCATGTCTGACACAACCGAATTTGTGCTAAACTAGTACTACTTCAACAGTAGGGCTTAGCGCGGATGAGGCTCGGTTCTCTGATAACAAAGAGCGCATGAGCAGACCGCATCATCTCTATTTACAGTCAGCTTCCAGTAGTTGGCCGTAATGCACATCACTAAGTTGCTTAACAACGTTGCTTAAGACATTCATAAAAATACTAGCTTCCCAACCGTGCCACATGATTTGCAGTGATGATTCTGCTTAGCAGTGTGAAGAACCTCAACGTCTGTCGTTCTTTCCTGCGTCCGTATGTCCTGATTAGACTATCGTTTGTTGTATCCATTTCCCGAAAGCCGACTATGTCAAGTAAATTCACCAAAGGCTGCGAAATATCGCAATTATAATCAAACAAACTTCCTGAATGTTACGGGCACTGCCATTTTGATGTATTTGATTCCCTCCTTCAATCCCAGAGAGCAGTAGGCCCGTAGATATTCACTAGGTGGCGAGAAACCGTGCTAGCATGATATGTAAACGGTCGTAACGGTTAACTGATCAAAGCTTTGTCTGAACTTGCCACGGATCGGTTTCAGGGGGTAGTGTAAATGGGGCTATTGGCTAAATCTGTCAAGGATTAGGAAAAGGCAAAATATTTCTCATACAGAATGAGAATTATATTTAACAATTACATATCTTTTTTGTTTTTTTGAAATAGCAAAATTTTGTTGTTACATATTCACTGTTAAAGCATTTCTATGTCATACTTTAAAAGAATATTTTTTTGTGTCCAAGGGACACGGGTGGAGCACAAAATGAAGGAACTTCCGAGAGTTACAAGTATAACGTTTCAGTTCTCAGGATGGTGGGTCACATTTTATTGTTCAGATGCAATGTCTACTGTCCACAAAAGATGGTCAATTGTATATTTTCTATTGTGTTCAGCTAATGGTCCAGCCTGTACCATCACACAAAGCTGCTTATTTGGCCTTTTAGTAAAAATAGAGAATGATAATTGCCCACCCTCCACAATCTAATATTGCTATATTGCCCACCTCTAGTTCTTATAATGACTTGGACATTTTTATATTTTAAAGTCAAACGATTTCTAATCAATTTATCTCTGCAGGTAAAGCGGGAGCCTGGGGAAAACGGCACCAGTCTTACGGACGATGAGCTGGTCACCATGTCAGTCCGTGAACTGAATCAGCATTTACGGGGGCTCTCTAAAGAAGAGATCCTACAGCTAAAGCAGCGACGGCGCACCCTGAAGAATCGTGGCTATGCGGCTAGCTGCAGGGTTAAGCGGGTCACCCAGAAGGAGGAGCTTGAAAAACAAAAGGCCCAGCTGCAACAGGAAGTGGACAAGCTAGTGACAGAGAATGCCAGCATGAAGGTGGAGCTAGACGCTCTGCGCTCAAAGTACGAAGCCCTGCAGAGCTTTGCAAGGACTGTGGCCCGCAGCCCTGTCACTACAGGAAGGGGACCTATGGCCTCTGTGATAGGGCCCCTCATCCCTGGTAAAGTAGCTGCCACCAGCGTCATCACCATCGTCAAATCCAAAACGGAGGCCAGGTCGTAGTAGCAGAGCAGGCAGAGGGAAGATTTTCTCGCCTGAACTCGTCAGTGCATTTTAACATGATGCAGGGTCTCCTGTTTATTCAGTTGTACCTTAACACACATAAATGCTTCCGGACTCACTCTTAGCAATGCAACACAGCGGTCTTCTACTTTTTAATTCAAAAGAAAGTCTCAGAGGTGGTCCCTACCTGTGAAAAAACCCTCTTTACTTCTTTTTTCAAAAGACTTAATCAATCAAATACTATCATGTTAGGCCCTCTTGCTTGTTATTCTGCACTGACTTGGATCAATAATAAATGGTCACATTATTGGTCCTAATGCTACAGAAGTCTTCAAAAACAACTTAACTAACCCAAAACTAGCTATTTTAGTCCAATTTGTGATATTTCTGTTTGTTTTGTTTTGGTGTTAGGTGTCTCTCAGTGATATAGGCATAAAACAATGCTGACAAACCTAGTGTTCATTTCCATTTATGCATTCATGAAAGGCTTCAGTGAAGTTGTCATTATCGACATGACTGGTAGATGCAATAATATATGTATGCACTGAAAACACACTTGGGGAAAAAATAAAGAGATCTTGTTTATTTATCTTAGCGGTATGATTCCAGAGCTAAGTGCCATTCCAATATGACAAGATTCTGCTACGATATCAGAAAACCTGAATGTTATTACAGTAATACCCTCACGATTCGTGAGAAAACTCATTATGGTCATGGGGAAAATATGTTGGTTTCTTTAAAAAAAATAATATATATATATATATTGCGTTTTTTTGTAATTACTTCTTAACATCTCTGTCAGATATTTCCAGAAGAGAGTCTTTACACAAGCTTTACTGTTTGAATCGTTAAAAGGTAGGATACTTTGTCTATCATTGAGTTCATGGTTTTTATTACTTGGTAGATTAAACTCCATCGTTTATAGAAATACAGAAAAAGAAAATGAATAAAAAAAAATCCCGTGACATCTCTTTTGCAATTGTACCAAAAGTGGCTTATTATTGAAGTCTGATAGCTTTTTTTCTAGTGACTAGGCGCGTACAGTGGGGTAGCGCGTAACGTGACGTGTACGTGGCAAGTTGGCGGTGTTGTTCACTGTATAGATGTCAACGCTGTGCTATTTAAGAAAAAAAAAAACTAATCTGTAGAGCTAAACTCGGTGGTGTGAACAAGGTCAGTTGTCTGTGTGCGTATTGGCATCTGTGATATCCTCTGCTTTCTCTGTGTTAGTTATCAATCATATTGTCATCAAGAGTTTATGTCAGCGAGCAGTGAAAGGCAGGTAGTGAACTAGCCAGTGAGTGTAAATTAATCTTAAACTGAAGCTAAAAATATGCTGCACCTGATGTTGGATACCTTCAATATGCATCCTCTGTGAACTGAGAAGAAAGAACTAAGTATTGGGAGGATTTTACTAGTTTTCCAGCCTCTTACTTGATCCCAACAACAGTTCCAATCAGGGGTTAACGTACTTATCATTGGCATGAAGGACATAATTATTTCGAGCTTTTCATTGTATTTTTTTCCCTTATAATATCAATTGTTTCATATAAAACTTTCCTTTCTTTATTGACCAACAGATTCATATTCTATATACAGGCTAAATAGACCCATACACTCCCGCTGGTATTTGGTCAAATTAGAAGAGAAATTTGAGGAGAAAACTAATCTTTTTGTAGCCATCTGTAGACTCATAATAATTCTGACTAGATATTTTATAATCAATGTTTGTAGAAATGGAGCTACTCTAAATTATTTGTGTCTCTTTCTTTGAGTATAGTTTTTAATAAGTCATTTGGGGTCACTTTCCTGTTGGAGCACCTATTTTAGTGCAAGTTTAAACCACTAGCTTCCTGATCTGTCCTCGGTTGAATATAAAGGCAGTACCTATCATCTCCCCACCTCCTTTTTAATGCAAGGTACCAGTAATGTGAGAATTAAAGCAACCCCCTATGATGACATGGTCACCGCCATGCTTCACAGTTTAAAATATGGAAGCCTTACTTTGAACTGAATTGGATTTTTTTTATTCCATACAAAAATATAAGGAATAAAATGGGCATCAGCCGTGCAATCACTTAAAAAACAAAGCAGATCTAAGCAACACAATACATTAATGTCTTAAATTCAGTTATGAATAACACATCCTTTGTGCATAAAACTTTCTCTTTAGCTGAAGGTAATATTTATACTGACAGATTGTTAAAAGAGAGACTCAACCCCTTAATGCCCAAGGATAGAAGCTGTTTGCCAGATATTATGTTCTGCTCTTCAGGCTGCTGAAGTCTGAGAGTTTTAAGGGGAATCCTGAAGAGTTCTCTTAGTTCTGTGAATACCTTAAAAATGGGAGAGGTGATCCAGGTAAGACTGAGAGTTACCAAAGACCTTTATTCCATTGGTCAGGCTTTGATGTCCGTATCTGTAAAGCTTGCATATCAACTGTTAAGCAAAAAAAACTTTCCATAAGAGGATGGAACACAGTAACCGGCCACTTCCTCTTCAAGTCCACTTTTTTTATCAGTTTGAAAAAGTGGAGTCTCTGCTGAGTTGACTGAGTGTTGACAATCCAGGTCAGGTTGTCCGTGATGTGAATCTCCAGTAGCCTAAAAGTGGAGAATCTCTCCAGTGTGACTCCATTAATTTAGAGTCTGGTTCCTCTCTCGTTTTCCTGAAGTCTATCACTATTACTCTTGTTTATCTAGTGATAGATTATTCAGAGAGCACCACATAAACAGCTTCCTTGCCTCATCCATGTATGCTGCTTCATCACCTCTACTAGCAAACACTGCCACTGTTTTATCATCAGCACAAATTATATTTTAGTTGCTAGGGTGGGCAGGTGAACAGGAATAAGTGTACAAGGTTTGGAGAAGTGGCCTCAACACACAGTCCTTTGGGGAACTGTTGCTTGTGTGGAGGGTTGATGAGGAATATGATCACATCCTGCATCCAGATGTGGTTTCCAGGGTGTTCTAAGTCCCTGGATGGGCTGTGCATTGTGCAACTATGCAACTGGTGGGATGCTGGTATTGATTTTATGTCATTTCTTAGAGCATTTCATGACTACAGGCGTCACATCTACTGGTCCACGTTTGTCACTGTGAGGGTTTTGGGGCTACAGATTTCATGCAAGGAGGAAACTGATTAAATATCTTGGTGAGCACCTTGGCTAGCGAGTTAGCCCACTCTAATACTCTACCAAGTATCCAATCTGATCCTGGGGCTTTCCTTAGATTAACAGATCTTGTTGTAATCCTTCTCACTGACTTTTATTTGAACAGTTAAAACACCTTGGTTGGGAATCTGTCAGGGAGACATTACTAAGGCCTTTTAGCAGGCAATAAGCGATTCAACTTCTTTGCAACTAATCGATTGAAGGTACCAATCCTTTAAATCACGCATGTCAAACTCCAATCCCAGAGGGCCAATGTCCTGCCACTGTTAAGATGTTTTTCAGTTTTAATATATCTGAATCAAATAATTAGATCATTAGCAGGACTCTGGAGAACTTGGCTGCCTGCTGGGAGGAGGGTAAATTACTCATTTGTTTAAAGTGTGTTGGACCAGGGACATGACTATAAGTTGCAGGATACTGGCTCTTTAGGATTTCAGATTGAGACCCCTGGCTTAAATTGTGCATCATATCTCCCATGTGTAGTTTTATGGGAAAAGATCCTTTATTTGTCACCTATAGACCTACTTGGCAGCCTTAATACCATGCCCTAGGTTAACGGTTGCCTTCTTGGTCTTCTCCCCACCCTGTATTTTGTCTCTTAGACTCGAAAAAAGAAAACCTGACTTTTTGTCTGGGGATTTCGATTGGAATAGACACAAATGTGTGTATCAAGCGGGACCATGTCGGCGTAGAAATTTATATTGTCAAAAATAGCATGAAGAGGTGTGGGTGTTCAAATACGGACATGTCTGTTAGAGAATCAGAGCCTCTGATGGGCTTAAAACATGGTTTGGCATTTTTGTGCTTCAGTAAAGACTAAGGAGACATAAACAGACAAACCTACATGTGGGAGAGGGAGAACCCTATAGGAGAGTTTTATCTTACAACACACCTGATCCAGTGGATTCTCTCTTGACAATGGCTTACATTTGGAGAGCACTTCCTTAAACAAGTTTGAATAAAATCTGATCATTGTGGCCAAATAAGTCAGCCTCTCTTAAAGATCTCAATCCATGCTGGCGTTCAACTTGTTTTACTGTGACCAGATCCTTAATGGTTTGTGTCTTTTTGGACATCTTAATCATCTTCTGCTTAAACAGATGTGGGGGATGCCTATCCAGTCTGACGGCGATGGTTTGAATGAAATGGTTGAAACATTTAGACAGTTTGGTGTTCCAACAGGACAATGATTCCTAAACTGCATGGATTTAAAAAGCCAAAGTAAATTTAAGTTGGTTTTTTTTTTCAAATAAATGTTGTGGAGGTTGTTTTAAGGCATTATTCAAAGCTCTGAATTGACATTTTTGTCCTTCATGCAAATGTATAAGTAGAACCGTACATTTGAGTAATGAATTAGTTTTACCTAATATATGCAGTTTCCTAAACCCATATCTCATTTATCTACCAAATAAAACAGTTTCCTCCCTAATTTTACTCATTGGTTTTCAGATTAAGAGTGGCAGGGTTTGGCCGAGGATCTCTTCGTATGCACTAAGCTCCTACAAAACGGGCCACTAAAAATGAAACAAAACGGTCAAAGACGAGAAGCAAAGTGGCAGCAGGGATGGCAGCTCTGTGTTCTGCTTTTTTTCTCTTTTCTTTTTGAATTTAGTTTTCTTGTCATAAAGGGCTTCAATCCACACGTAGACAGAGACGGGGGAACAAACATGTAGAGTTACAATCAAGAGCCGCTGCCAGAAGAGCTTCCCCTCCCATGCCAAGTGTCGTACCGCATGGTATTGTCAAAGGAGAGCTGATGCTGAAGCAGCTGCACACAATTGTTTAACGACTTTAACAAACGCACTTCTTCCGGGGGTCGCTCTTACTGAGGTGTTAATCTGCACTCGCTCTCAAAGCGAACATCTCAGCAAAACTCCTTGTCAGAGATCTGGGTGCTGGTAACACTCCCTGTGCGCACATTGTCCTATCTTCTCCTTGTCAACATGCTTAGCTATCTACGGTGACGGGTTAACTGTGGGAAAATATATTTGTGACTCTTGACATAGCCCAGTATCGATGTTGGCGTCCTTATTGCCGTGGCCGTCTTGTGGAGTTAATCTTTTTTTGGTGTCAAGTGTCTTTTAAAAGGTGTTCAAGAGGCACTGTCGAGCAATCTCTGAGTCTCCTCTCGAAGGCAATGACTCTTTATCAAGCATACTGGTGTATAGTATGTAGCTGCAGTAGGTACTGATGACCGTTGTGAAAAAGTGACCCTTAATATGCAACTCAGTGACAAGATGTGAGAGAGATGTGAAAGATTAATAGATATTGTCTAAGCTGTTGTTTAAATGTTCTTGCTGCTTTATTTTAGGATATATATTTTTGTTTTTTTTTGCTAAATGTGTTTGTTGTTTTCCTGATATTTTACATTCTGAAGTGTGAAAGCATTTGGCTCTTGTGAACTTAAAAGACCCCAGGGTTTCTGCACTGTCTTAAAATTTACCTTTGATCATTTTCTACATGTGAAAAAGAAAAATGAGTTTGACAAATTGTTTTACCCGACTTGATTTCTTTTTCTATTCTCAAGTTAGAAAATCATTGTCTAAATAAAAAAAAAAAGAAACATAAAGTGCTTCTTAAAACTGACTTATATTAAACTTCTATCCTTTGTCTTTGATCTACGACATTACAACTTTAATTACATTGATTAGGTTCATTTTAGAGGGAGTGGAAATTGTGGAAATAAAAGGCAATAAATGAATTAATGATGATCCAAAACAGTGCTTGGTTTAAATGTTGAAAATTTAATTTCAACCAGTTGAATTAATCCATAAAACATGAGCAAACTGTGTTATAAATCTTAGCTGAAAAAAAAAAAGAAAATGAACTTTACCACTTTTATCAAATCAAAATTCAACCATGGTGTCAATTTTGATGCAGATAATTTGCTGGGATGATGTAACAATGCTTTTTAGCAATTAGTGTAATGTTCTTCCAAAGCCTGATTTAAGCCTCACAATTTCTAAAATATGTGTTTCTAGGTTTAGCTTGAGAATAAAATATGAGGTTTGTTCCCATGAAAAACTTGCCAGATGTTTTCTCCTAATGCCAAACAGCTTTTTCTGTTAATGGCTCTATTTGCAGGCATTTATAGTATTGTGATTAAAGTTTGAGGGAACAAGACATTTTGGCAATTTCCTATTTATCAAAATGTCTTGCTGATCCATGGGAGACAGAATTGAACCACAATAGCCTGATACCTACCAATAGGACTGGTCACCATCTTAATTCACACACTTATGGCATTAGGGTAGATTTTTTTTTCCAGCCAAATGAAAAACTCAATTAAATCTCAGAGGCTCACTGTCCCATCTTGTCTGCTCCAATATAACTCTTCCAGTGAGGAATCTACCATCCCACAGCATCATACCTCCTCTAGCAAGTTTTTCATGAGCACATCTAACATACTGTACCCCAGTGATGCATTTCCTATCAAATTTGGCACCGTTTCAAAAGAAAAAAAATAAACCATAAATCTAAATTGTTTTTTGTTTATTTGTTTTATTTGAAATGTGAAGTGGTAACCTTGAAATCCATAACATTTCCATTCTCACTCAGATTTTCCGATATGGCTGGCTTAAAGACATGCTAGATTACAAATGTTTGCAGCGTTTTTTTTACTCGCGTCCTTCCTAAGGGGCTCATGCAAATCAAAATGTTTCTTACTGGTATTTTTGTGTGTGTGTGTGTGTGTGTGTGTGTGTGTGTGTGTGTGTGTGTGTGTGTGTCTCCTCTGCTGCTACACCAGTCTTTAATGCTCCATGTTTTCTATTTCACCATCCGCTGCGTTTTCTGTTCTCATTATGTAACGGATTTCTAATTGATCTCAACACTGTAATTTAGTCTCCAGATGTAATTTTATAATTGGTCATTGTTTTTAGTTCTTTG